TAAAGATCACATGCCCAGTAGGAATCCAGATTCAATTTCAAGAATGTTTTTAAGGTCTTAATTGAAATGTGTTAATGGGATCTGGGGTTCAACTTTTTCATATAATGTACTGTTCTTAAATTGAGCTCCAGGAGAAAGGTTACAATAATCTGCTTTATCAGTCACTGAAGTTTGGAGACAGCTCTAGCTCTGTCTTTTCATGAGCAGTACCTTTTATCCTAAGAGCTTTCATGCAATTGGGCATTAAGCATTCTTCCCCACATGACAGTATGGGGCTATCCTTTCAAATGATTGTGGGGCTTTTAGAGCAACTCTAGAATAATCCTGAATTTGCTATAATAATTAGATTAATGAGTGGTTTCAAATTTTACTATTGAAAAAATACTAGAACTAGGCTAGATCACTGCTCTGGACACTCAGCAAACGTCTTGAGGTGTCAGTGGAAGTTCTAGGTTTCTTAGCACTCCAATTAAGATATGTATAGTGGTTGCCATGCTATGTGCCGAATGCTTTGATAATAATAGCAAAATCTTTACAATGGCATAGAACTTCATAATTTAAATTACCTCAATAAACTTCTTTCATCCTTATAACAACCTCATGAAAGTTCTAGGACAGCTGTTATTACTCATTTTACAGATGAGAAAACTCAGGTTCCAAGAGTGAGTGACTTACGTGGGTTCATAGTAATCCGGAACTGGGATATGAGCCACGTCTTCCAGTACCTAGTCCAGAGTTTTTTTCCATTCTGCCATGCTACTGAGCCTAAAGTGGGCCGAGCTTATAGTTTCAGTGGTGGCTGGAGCCACTTGCACCAGCTCTAAAGAGTTTGATTGGGGCTCTCTCTCAATTTTGTGATCAGTGACTTGAGCTCTGGTGGGAGTATTTACACTACAGAAATGGGCAAATGCTCCAGACCAGGGATTCACTCTTTTGCCCCTCAAAAAACTTACTGTTAAACATTTACTAGCACACTACTGGTTAAAACTAAATCTATATATGTTTGTTGGTACAGCTGGTTAAACACAAGTAAGCTGTTTCCTCTTTACTGACCCATATTTTTTAGCAGGGTGGGATTTAATAGGTGTATAGAAAATAAAATTTCCAATATTTCTAAATTTGCCTCTCTTGGAGGTTGTTTGAAATTTCCACAAATGGGCACATAGATTGTGCACAAAGCATTCATCTTCATCAGTAGGTAGTATAATCATATGTTTTATTTAAAGAGCATATTTCCTCTGATCAGCTTCAAACCACCTTGGAATTTACTCTTGTGGTAAGTATTACTATCCTTTCCTTTTTTTCTTTTTAATTCTTTTTTTCATTGTTTTGAGGAAGATCAGCCCTGAGCTAAGATCCATGCCCCTCTTCCTCTGCTTTTTTTATATGTGGGATGCTACCACAGCATGGCTTGATGAGTGGTGCCATGTCTGCACCTGGGATCCCAACCGGTAGAACCTGGGCCGCCAGGGCAGAACCAGCAAACTTAACCGCTGTGCCACCAGGCCGGCCCCATCCTTTCCTTTTTATAAAAAACAAACTGAAGCAACACAAATGTATTGAGTTTTTAATATTTAACATTTGTAGGCCAGTGAACAAAATGGAACTGTGATCTGATGATTCTCATGGAGCAGGCGCTGGTTTGATCAGAATGAATGGAAGGCCTCTGGATTCACTGTCTGAATCTCTCTATCAGAGTTGAGAGTCCTCTGTCCATTTGGAATGGCTACATAAAGTAGGTGACCATCAAACCTGCCCTCTGGGCCCCACTAGCTTAACACTTTATTGGAAATCCACACATATGTTGCTTATATGGGTAAGGTGTCAATAGTCTTGAAACATGTGCTTTGGATCTGTTCAGCCAGTGCCACCCATTAGAACATCTGTGCAAATACTCAAGAGAGGTGAATTTTGGTGAGGGAGAGTTGGCAGGGATGCCTAGATGGAGAGCTGCGCATGGCAGCACAGTGGGCGTGGTCTGTAGCCCTAGAAACACAAGGGACCAGGAGAAGAGAATTAGGAAAGAATTGTGATAAGCGTTACTATCTATCCCTTTTTATAAATGATAAACTGAAGCAGCACAAATGTGCTGAGTTGAACCTTCATAGGCAGCTGAACTGAAGGAGGAATTCTGCTGCTCATGTCTCCCTCCTGCTGTCCGTGACTCAGCCGACATCCATGAACTCCCTGTGCGCAGAGGCTGCACCTTATTCACCTTTATATTTTGATTTCTTAGCATTGAATTTGACCCACTGTGATACCAATAATAATTAGTATTATTAGTCCTAATAATATTAGTGACAGGAACAACAGCATTATTGATAGCCTGCTATACGCCAAGCACCATCCTGAATTGTTTTACAAGCATGACCTCATTTTATTGTCACAACCACCCTGGGAATTAGGCCTTATTATCCCTGTTTTGTGGATTAGGAAACAGAGGTTCTAAGAGGATATGAAACTTGCTCAACATTGAGCAATTATTAATTGATGGAGTCAGCCTCACACCCAGGTCTACCTGATTCACTAATTAGGGAATGGGAGTTCTACATAAATGCATAGTTTTTGCCCTGGAAATATACTCTTTGGATGTCTTTGAGTAACTCTTCCTTTCTCAGTTCTTACCTGAATGTATACGCTTCATTTTTGCAGACTGCCCATTTATGACTCTTTTTGCCTTGAAGACGGATCTTGACACAAAAAATGAGACAGAGTCCAGAATGCCTACTCTTCAAAACCACCTGACTGAAGGAAGCATCAGGGGCAGACACCAGACAGAAAGTGAGGGTCTCTTCCTACACTTAAGGTCACCAGTAATGCCAAAGTGGTGACATCCAGGGTCGATTGATCACTTCCCTCCACTTTTACGCTACTTTTGACTACATCTACTACTCCCTATTTCCTACTTCTGGAAAAATCCCTCCTTCCTGAGGCTTCAGAGTCGAGCAGAATGCCTAATGTATTGGCTTTGAAGTCAGACTGACGCAATCCCCACTCTACCACCTATTGTTAGTGGGATACTGGATACCTTTCCTACACTGAGCCTCAATGTCCCCACTGCAATGCAAGAAATCCGGAGGACTTGCTGCATAGACTTGCTGCAAGGATTACATGAAGTGATTATCCTGAAGTGCTTAGCACAGTGCCTGGTATACGTTATAGTATTAGGTACCACTTACCCCTTCCCTGCACCAGGGACTACACGGACCAGGGTCAATCGCCAAATGAGAAACAAGATACATTGTAGTCTGAGCTGGCACCCTAACCCTAACTTCTCCTACTGCAGAGGTATGTTGGGGTCATCCTTAGTCTCTCACCCCCATTCTGAGACAGCAGGACCCCAGTCACATCAAAGAAGCAGAGAGATGAGTGACAGCATTTCCTTGTGAAACCTGAGACCTCACTTGCAATATCCTGAGCAGGATATCTTCTTCAAGTTTATGGCCAAGTCCTAGGCCTGACATTCAGCATCTATGTTTCTGTCTTCCCAACTACAACTCCTGGCTGGCCAGGTAGGGGGCAGGGGGAAGATGTCTTATTTATTTCCAATGACATACAATAGGCATTCAATAAATATTAGTTACTTCTTCGAAGGCAGGGATCAGCAAACTTTTTCTCTAAAGGGTCAGATAGTAAATATTTAGGCTTTGCAGGCCATACTGTCTCTGTAACAACAACTGTACTCAACTCTGCAATTACATTTCAAAAGCAGCCATAGACACACATAAACACGTGAGCATGGCTATGTTCCAGTAGAATTTAATTTACAAAAACGGGTGGTAGGCCAGACTGGGTGCAGAGGCTATGGTTTCCTATTCCTGCTTTAAGGGTTGCACAGACCTCACATGTTTTAAATTCAGTACCATAAGCAAATTTTCATACCACGTGTTTTCTAAACATAAAGCTTTCAAGCAACTATGCTTTCCCTGGTGGCAGGCCCAGCATATCATTCATTCATTCATTTACTCCATGATATTGAACCCTCCTATGGCGAAGCACTTTTCTAGGTGCAAAAAAAGAAACAATCACAGAAATGTAACTTCATTTTCATTATTGGTCTTGAGAAACTTGTCCACAGGAGTATGTTGCTCATTATTTCATTTCAGTTGTCTCTTCTGTATTCCAGATATTTATGGAACAGCGTTTAAGCTGTACCTTGCCTACTTGGCATCATCTATATCTTGTTTCAGTTTGGCATGATCTCAGTGATTCCTCTCACTGCAGCTTTGTCTCTGTTTTTGGAACATGCTATTGGCTTTCTTAGGCAATGCCCCTCTGGATTGGCACTAGAGCCAGGGACGGGACCGTGTACCTCTTCACTGCCCCTTTGGGTTGATCTTCCAGTCTGAGCTCGCGGGAAGAAGCTGGACATTAAGTGTGTTGGTGTATCCCTGGTCTCTCCTCCAAAAAAGCAAAGGATACGTGTGTGTGTGTGCAAATTAAAAAAGATAATGAAAACGTTAGGAGAAAAATATCTATTTAAGCAACAGTTTAAATCATGAGGGTTATACCATCATTACATGTTTAGATGAGAATATAATTTAAATGGACAAACATGGACAATATTTTTTGATTCACAATGATACTGGAATGGGGGTATCTAAATCGTTTTTGAGCACTAGCATTTTGGTAAATTGTCTTTTGGTAATTATCTCCAAAGAAATTTATTTCTTAATTGGAGCTATTTCTTTCTATAAACACAAAATATCATTTATTGCCTCCTTTGGGAAAATATTTAAGCAAATAGATCTCCTTTAGATTGGCTAGAATTTTCATACACACAGAGAAAAACTAATACAGATACTTAGCCAGTGATGGACTGGTAAATGTTTAGCAACCAGCTCCCAATAAAAAAAAACATGTGCATATAATACACACATAACTTTATTATCAACCATCCTGGTATAAAGATACATTGCACACAATTTACAAATAATAATAAAATACACATTACTCTCTATTATAAATTCCATTTGATTCTCAAAGAATGCTTTTGTTGATTTTTGCTGAAATCTCCTATCTGTAGCCAACCTAGCACTGCAGCAGATGTACAAATGTGATTCTGACATGACTATGGGTTGATATTTTCATAATTATGCTAGCGAGTAAGGTGAAAGTAAACAATGAAGATGGATGTTGGAATTTGACGTGCTTTCAGTGAGGTAAGTGACTTCTTTGCTAAATCAGATAATAGGTTTTGTACACTGGAAGAATATTTCCTCATTTTGGAGCCCTATTTCATAATGTAACAGCTATATACACAACAGACTTTTAAATTTAATCTGCATTATAAACATTTTCTTCCTCATTTTTTTAAGCCCATGCAGTCAACAAAGCAATAAATCAAGCCCTGGTTGGTGATGTTTGCTGATTTCTGTGGCAATAATACCCCTACCATGGCCCATCTCGTGCTACCAATGGGATAGACAGAACATGGAGTTAGGACTAGTTGCATGTCAGCTCACCATCACGTCATACTTCCACCACACCAACATGATTAAGAGCACAGGACATGGTAAAATGGGATAAAATGTTTAGGAATTGATGAACTGTGAGTTATTACTTTTGCATTTAATATCATTTATGAAGTTGTAAGTTTATATAATTTAATATTTAAAACGGTAAAGGTTAACAAACAGGTAAAAAAAACTTCTAAAAATTTGACAAGTGTTTCTTGTGGAGCTACTATGAGCTTGTTCAGCACACCACTGCTGTTGGCAAAACATGTATTTTCCACTTGTTAATTACCCAATTGAGTTTGGTGAATGGCTCACCAATTAAAATTAAATATAAGTATAGTTTTAGAAAAAGCCTTTTAAGAAGTTGTAATATTTTACTTGAAGAACATGTTGACAGTGGCTCCTAACAAGATCAGTTACTTGATTCCTTTTCATGGAATTACCTTTGAAACTCATAATGTATGTGGTGACTTTTTTTGACATATATCAAAATAGGTGTACATATTGCAATAGTGAGACAATTAATTGACCTAATTATTAATAGTAGATATTGTGGGTTGTATATTGACAGTGAACATGGCATTACACAAAAAGTAGATTGTAAATTCCATGGGTATGGGGACGGGACTGGGCCCTTCTAAATTCTTGTAAAATAACACGTATTATTCTTGGTAATTTGTATCTAAAATTATTATAGTCTATCATTATGATAAAGTGTCATCCGGATTCAAACCAGTTAACACAGGTAAAACCAACCACGAGGTTAATAATAAAAAGTAGACCTTGGACTCAAGTAGTGATTATTGAGTAAATTCCAGTCAATGGATAAATACAGATATGAAGACAGTACAAAAAACATTACCTTAGTGTGAATCTTTGAGGCTGTAGGCTACTTTTCAAGTTTTCTAGGGGATTTTGTAATTATTCAAGTGAAATTCAAGTGTAGTTATTCAAGTGTAATTATTCAAGTGAAATTCAAGTGAAGTGAACAAAATAGTTCTTTCAATATGCACTTTTTTTTTGTTATGCTCCCTTATAAAGCATTTGCTACTTAATTATGAATTAGATGACCACTTGGGTCTGTGTGCAAAAGCCCTAGTGCATGGCACTGCTGGTCTGCATATATATGTGAGACTGTCCAAATGACAGGAAGTAAAGACTGGATAAACAAATAGTGTCTGAAGGGGATGTACTCCAGTAGCTGTTGCTGGAGGATAGACAAAGGAGAATCCCAATGCTGGGGCAGAGATTTCCCCACAAACTGGGCCAGGCCCTTCCCAAACTCCTTCTGGGACCAGGCCAGGTATCGGGGCCATGGGAGCTATCGTCATGCTGGGAAGCAGCCCTTCAGTCTCTAATGGAGCAGTGACAGGGAAGCATAGCTGCTCTGCAACCTGGCCACGTCCACTCATTTATGCAACTGTCTTCCACAGTCAGATTTAAATATTTACAGGACTTTTTTTCAAACAAAGATAAATAATTTTCTCCCTACTTAAATTACTTTTTTCTCTAGGTGATCTATGTATATTTATAAAATTGACTTTAAGCTTCACCAGTAGGGTGGAATGTACTGCTTAGATTTTCTCTGGGCTGGTTAGACTGTTAGGAAGAGCTAGGACCCCAGTAGCTGTGCCAGAAACAGAATTCCCTTTAACCTGGACTGAGCAGGAACCACAGTTCTGTATTCAAGATGTTGTCACTCATACTTTTTGATCCCATTCCTCAAAGACATAGGTAGACAATATGTATAATAAACACAATTAATGAATTCATGGGAAGACTGGGCCCATCCCTCCTTGGCATTGTTAAACCTGCAGCTTCAGTCACTGTGAAAAGCTTGATTGCTCAGTTCCCATGCTGTAAATGGGGTTCCCAGACTGACTCTACCATAGTGATTCCTGTAGGTTCCTTTAATTGATCTGTATATAGAGAGAATATACATTCCAGTTACTGCAATAGGAAGAGAAACTTGGAAACTTTTGTAGGAACAAGATCCAGTTCCAGAAGAATGACTCCTGGAAAACAATCCTGATTGCTAACCTCTTCAAACCCACCTCCCTTCCAGCCAGAAACAAAACACACCACAAAAACAAATAAAATAATCACACACAAGTATTGGCACCAGGATACATGCAGGGTCACCACACCCTTGTAGTATCCATTTCACAGGGCAGTTGCTACATTTCAACAAATTTCATTCAATGACTGTGGTTTTTAAGTGAGACTAGTAAAAAGGAAGTTTGATTATTTAAACTCAGGCCCAACATAGAATTAACCAAGCCTTCCTATGGAAAACAACATAAACTTATAGAAATAGTGTCTAAGGGAACCAAAACATACCAGAGAAAATGTTTTTAAGAAATGATATAATATTAATGACAATACAAATAATAGCTAACACTAGATACTGTTCTAAGTACATACCACACTAATATAAATAACTCTTTTACTCCTCAAAACCACCATCACAAATTAACACCGTCTTCCCCAAGCCAGGGACCTGAGGGTCTGTAACCACAGGGAGGATGCCACGCATGCTTGCTGTGCTCAGTATGATGTGGCAGAGAAAGGGTCTTCGAGATGCAGCATCTGACAGCCTCAGTGGCCTTCTCCTTATAACAGAGGAATAGGGCCCATTCACCTCACAGGTGCAGGAAGAGGATTGAGGAGAAAATTATCTTCCAGACAGAGTTTGTGGTGTGAGCAAAGGCTTCACGTTCTACAAGGCTGCAGAGGGAATGCTGGGAGCTGTCATTCCACATGCTTGCTTTTTTAAAAAATTGTGATAAGAATAGATAACGTGAGATCTACCCTCTTAACAAATTTTTAAGTTTACAGTACATATTGTTAACCATAAGTACAACGTTGTACAGCAGATTTCTGGAACTTATTCGTCTTGCACAACTGAAACTTTATACCCATTGAACACTCCTCATTTCCCCTTCCTCCAAACCCTGGCAACCACCTGTCTACTTTCTCTATGAGTTTGACGACTTTAGACACATCAAATAAGTGGAATTATGCAGTATTTGTCTTTTTGTGACAGGCCTATTTCACTTAGCTTAGTGTCCTCAAAGTTTGTCTATGTTGTTGCATATGCCAGGATCATCTTTTCCAAGGCTGAAAAATATTCCACTGTATGGAACTTCTTTATCTGTTGATGAATATTAGATCATTTCCGCAAGTAAAAATAGAATTACGATATGATCCAGAAATCTGAGTATTTATGCAAAAGAACTGATATCAGGATCTTGAAGAGGTACCTGTATTCCCATGTTCTTTGCAGCATATCCACACACTTTTGCCTGTGTATTTTGGGAGGGGAGGAGATTAGTTTCTTTAGTGTCTTGCAAAGTGCTCAGCCACAAGAACTGCCACAAATAGCTTGGTGTGGGTGTCCTTTCAAAGCAATAGGCCAGAGGTTTGACATACAAAAGAATGTTTTAAAGCCAAGTGCACTCTGCCAGGGTTTTAGAGCTGCGGTTTTAGGGAAGGATTAGCGTCTTCACTACTCAAAGGCACCTCAGGTGTCTGGGCTTCACCTGGGGCCGTGAGCCTGCAGGACAGTGTCAGGAGCCAGAGATAAGCATCCATTCCAGCTCTTGGTTAAGACTGCCTTGATCAAATGCTCCTGCATTGTAAAAATTAGTAATAGGAAAATGAGATGTTAGCATTCTCTGCAGGGCTTTCTTCTCCTGAAGAGGTGGATGACATGATGGCATTCTGCAGAAGAATAAGATGCATAAGGTAGAATATCTTCCTGAGTTTACCTGGTCTTAGATTCTTTTCTTTCATTATTCTTTTTCTCTTTCTTGGAAGCTTGATTTTCATAGAGATGAGAAATTTATTCTCTTGCCTTCGGAATATTATTTCCATTTGGCAGCTCCAAAAGAAAAGAAGTGATGGGTTTGATGCTTAAACATTGCTTAGACTTTATTATCTGGAGATTTTTCCTTCCAGCACTTCTTCCTAAGTTCTTGAGTATATGAACCCCCGATGCTTTGACTAGGAACTGGAATAGACCTTACAAAGGGTTTGCTTGGGTATAAAAATCTTTGGGGCTCATGAAAGGAGCAGAGAAATCCTCATGCAATCCCCCACAGAGCAGAAGCCACTGTGTGTGAGAAGTCAGTAAGGAGAAAATAGGCTGAAGGAGTAAGGAGAAAAGTGGGCTTGTGCACGCTCTGAAAACTAGATGTAAAGAAGAGTTTGGGCCAGCACTGCCCTCCTGGCTACAGAGGAGGCTCAGAATGGTTCAGGTCTTCCCCAGGTGCTACTAGGAAGTGAGTTCACACTGTGACTTACCGTTGGACCTTGGGCTTCACGGCAATCAGAGCTGCCCGTTAACCTGGGAAGAACTGACTGAATATAAAAACGAGAAACATTACCATAAATTGCAAAAGCCTCTTTTAAAGAGCTGCTGCAGAGAAGCCATTGTATGAGACCTCAGCTCTCACTTGGCTAGGATCCAGGAAAGGCCTTGAACATTAGGTCAGCCCCTTCTCCACAGCTCCCTTTCTCATATCTTCATATATTAGGGTGGTGATGGTAGAGAGGACTGTGGCCCACAGAGTGTGGAGAGTGAAGACCAGGGCTACAGGTAGGGAAGAGGAGGTTGCACCTTCTGGCTGGCACTTTGACTGGACCCTGGGACTCAGGGTGGGGTGGGGATGGAGTGGGGTGGGTCAAGGCATGCCAGGGTCCTGATGGTGGTTGTCGGACTGCAAGTGGGTGATGGCTGTCTCCTGGCTCCTCCAGAGTCGTGTGTCTGGGTCTATGATTACTGGAGGCAACTAGTGGCAGGCGCGGACTTGCTTGTGTACTTAGCTCTGTGGGTAATGACAGTGCCTCCAAATGTGCGGATGCCCTTCTCAGGATGTAGAGCTCCACAGGAGAAGGTAAGCAGGTGCGTGAGCCTGCTGAATGTGCTTCCTCTTGACCCTGGGGCCCCAGGGTGCATAGGGCCGCTCTCAGGTTCCATTTCAAAACTTCTAAGTAACAGCAGGTGTTTGTCATTAGAACACCACTCTGAAGATGTATAAAACAAAATTAACACCGAATCCTGGATATCCTATATTTATCTGTCCCTGAGAGAATATCCTTGGGTTTATTTATGATTTGAGTATCTCATAAGAAAAGCAATATAAAATAATAATGTGTTAATGTCCTATAAAAACAAACCTATTCAATACAATTTATTAAAAACATGATTCTATATAAATATCTTTGTACTTGGAGATCATAGCTTCATTAGTTTTTTGAGCCTATCTTTTGGCATTCCAGTGTGATACAGAATCTAAGTGGCTTTGGTAGTGTGACTCGGATGCTCTGACTCCCGAATCCTGTAGGAGCCAGGTGTCCTTTATCAGAAGCGGCAAGCCAAATGGCCTATGACAGACTGAGACTACAAAATCAGACCACATAATACCTTTTCTTCCACATGTACTTTTTATGCTGAAATTTAGATCACTTGAGCTCCCTTATGAGTTCTTAACCAATGGGAGTATGGATACAACCTCTTTCGATATAATTGCTTTTCTTTAATCATATTTAATTTTGTGTATTATAACGTTATTCTGAGAAGGCAGTTTAGAGGCCTCACAGAAGCAAAAGCAGTGCGTGCACAAAGATAGGTAAGAACCCTGGCCAGGGTGCTCTCCATAAGTGTCACCAAACACCACCATCCCTTTGTTTACTGCCTCCTCTCAACCTCCACCTACTCCCCATCCCAGAAAACCTCAGTTCTGATAGCTGGCCCCACAAAGGAGACATGCTCCCTCACTTCAACCCACTCTGAGAATGGCCTCTTCCTACAAAGATCGACAGTGGAAAATATTCCTTTCTGCTAAAGGAATCCTGCGTCCTGCACGGGAGCATGGGTTGGCCTTTGGTCTTAAAGAGCAGTTGTATGATTATTTGGGTCCTGCTTCTTGGGGGCTGAGCACTCCAGCCTTTAAGAATAGTGCCAGTTGGACCCACATACCAAGTCTGGATGGGCTGTGTCGATTGTTGGAACATCTTTTTCAGTCTCTTTTCATCAAGGTCTTAAAAAATCTGTAGCTCAATGTCACCCATTGCTATATTGCTGCCTGTGGAAGCTAAAGCTACCCTGCTTTTGCTTTAGTGTTTTTCCTGTTGAAAGTGAAGAGAAAAATGTAGAATATGGTATTTGTTCAGAAGAAACATGTCAGGGAAATCAAGTACTGACTTTGTAGGGTGGCATTAGCGATTTGAGCTTTTCTTTGCACACAGGGCATCAACCTACTAAAGACAGTGGCATCGTCCCACCCACAACCCTGTCCCTGGGCTCCCAGCTATGCCATGGGACATAGATCGTGACCGGGTGAGAGAGGGAGGCCACTTTTCTAGGAGGTATTTGCAAATGTAGACCCAAGACTCACCTAGTTCCATTAGTTCATCTTCCATTTGTGATTCCAGGTCTGAGGTCGTTGGTTCACAAAGCTGTTTTGTGCAGAAGTTGAGGGTGCTGGGCCTGAAGACGGCAAGCTGTGGGTCAGAGCTCTTCTGTGCTATTTATTTGCTAAATTACCTGTTACTTGGCCCCAGTTTCCTTATCTGTTAAATGGAGTAGTAACAGAAGCTTCCCTCATTTGATTCTCAGTCCTACACCCACAAGCGAGCTGCGAGGACTGAGAGCTGCCTGGGCCCCACTTTCATCTACAGGACCAACCTTTGATTTACATGGTCTCCACTGTCTCCACTCAACCTGACCTCCCAGGATGGCACTTAGTGATTTCTTGGTATTTTATTGCTTTAGTGTTAAAATATATGTTTAAGTGCTATCTCCAGATTCTTTTCAGATGTGTAAAATTCTTTGTGTTCTTAGTAAAGAGCCATGATTGACCTTCCTCTGCTTCAGCTGGTACAAAGCCAGCCATGCCAATGTGCTCATTGCTACTTCTTGTAGTTAATATTTCGACTGTTATTTATAATGTTTTTACTGTATGCTTATTTTTTTTTTTAATCGTATACTTCCAGAGCCCTTCTGAGTTCTGTGGGTCTTTCTGGAGTTCATATTCCTCCTCCTGAGCTAAAAAGCAAGTTCTTTAACTTCATTCCTAGCTAGATTTTTCTTTCCGTTTCTACATGGAAAAAAGAAGAGCAATGCATTGGACCTGGGAAATCCTTCACCAAAAAGGACTTTTTAACAACATGCTGCTGTGGAGGGGCATCCTGTAGGACCTTAGCACTTTTCACCTCCGCCTTCCACTCCTTCAGAAGTCTCCACATGATGGCAGATCTTTGCTCTGTTCAGAGTCTGTCCTAGCAGGAATGGAGTGTCGTTTCCCTCATTGTTATGGCAGTTTTTCCACTTTTTTATTTTTAAACTGAGAACCCTTCACACTGCAATTTTTCTGGGAGATATTCTTTCTATGGTTTGGTGGAAGTGAGACGAAAAGCCAGAGTGAAATGTGATTCAGGAACAAGGTGGCAGAAATCTTTTCAAGAGGAGTATTTCCTTAGAGCTCTCTCCTTCTTTCCAGGTCTCTTGTTTCCAGGCAGCTTGCTTATTAGAGACAGGGATGTGTATGTGTGTTTGCATGCACTTATGCACATGCATGCATAGGAAACAAAGAGACTAAAGCCTTAAGGGATTCCACTTCCAGGAAATCTCCTTGCTATGGTTGATGCAGAGAAAAACTAACCCCTGATTGTCTCTCAACTTAAAAATTATTTCAGTTTATAGAAGTCTAAACATTCAGCAGTTTTGTGGTGATAATGATGCAGTCACTTTTTTTTTTTTTTTAGTTCTTTGAACTTTTTAAAGCCCTTTGTGTTTTCCTAACTGTTACTCATAGGGCTGGGATAGGAAAAATGCAGGCAGGCCTGTGCCTGCTTCTGAGTACTCAAGTTTGAGCAATAGTATACCACACAAATTCAGCTAGTTATATATATATTTTTTCCTGGTGGTGGCAGCAAGAATTTGGATGGGTTTCTGGGTACATCTTGTTCTCCAGTCAAATGAATGATTTCCTTTCAGCTTTGTAAGTTTGAAATGAGTTCCTGACACAGGCTGTGTGTCCTGATGGGAGCTGCTTGTCTGCGTGAAAACAGCCAGTGGGACACAGGGCTCCAGGAAACCCAGATCACTCAGTTCTAACCAGGCCCAGCTGCTGCCTCATCTACCTGAGACCTGTAGCAGGAATGGCTGTTACTGCCATGTTGACCCCTTTCTCCCTCCAGATGTCTCAAGTCCACTTTGGGCTCTGATGTCTTAGGACATGTGGTGGGATGCTCCTGGCAGGAGCTGCTATTGCTTTTGAAGTGTCCTTGTGGCTGGGCCCGGTGGGCAAATGGCCAAGAGATGCTATCTTTATAACATCTGCTGTCATCTTTGCTGTGTGGGAACTAATGGCTGTGTTTGAATAATTAGGCCTTTGCACCACAGCACAACAGAAGCACTCATTGCTCCATTAAAACAAACATAATTATTGTAGTGCACACATTCAAGGCCCCTTTCATCCCTTCAGAACCTGCAGCATTTGGGAAGGTCTGCGTGCTGGAGTGCTTTCTCAGGTCCTGTGAAATCAGGCCCCTTCTGGATGAGGGCCTCTTTTGGGGTAGAGAGCGCATGTCAGAGAAGTTGGTCTTTGTATCTCTATTCGTGTTTCATAACACTTTAGTCAGACCTCTGTTTCAGCATTTATCCACTCTTCTATTTGGGTGCATGTAAATTTTATTTATCCTACTAAGCTGCTGGATCACTCTGGGCCAGCACTGCAATCTTGCCCATATTCATTTCTCTTATGAAGACTTTGGGGCTGAAGTCTCCTGGCCTCTCTGTGCCTCAGTTTATTCATCCATTAATCATAACATCTACCCCATCCACTTCCAGGACGGTCACAAAGATTAAATGAAGTCATGGATATAAAAGTGATTTGCAAAGTACAAAAAGACCACACAAATAATAAAAATCCTGCAGTTACCCAGGTTAGGACATAGATACTATTTAACCAGCACTGCCAACCATTTGACTCAGTATGTGGTTCTTGAACAAATACTTCCGAGAAATAGGTTTTTTTTTTCATGGGTGACCAGGATAACTCTAAAAAATGGCAGTCCTGTTTACTAGAATCTCTGACCTTTAGCTTCCTGGGAGATGTTTCCTTTTATATCAGTGATTAGTGTATTCTTTTTATCAACCAACTGATAAATATTTATGGAACACCTATAGCATGGTAGATACTGTGCTGGTTGATGCTGAAATATGAATACGTGTTGGGGTAGTGGTAGTCTCTCTGGTATCTTAAATCTACAAAACTGTACCAAATTGGTGATAAGGACAAGGATGGCATCAAGGACCCAAAAGACAGGATAGGAATTCTTGCATACCTCTGTCATTTTCAATTTTTGTTTTTTATTAATGAATCTAGGGTGAGAGGTGTGCCATGGAAGTAGAGTTTGACGTACACCTTCAAGGATGAATAGACTCCTAGTTGGCAGAGGAAGGAAGGATGGACTCATAATGTAATTCACCGAGAGTACTGGGGTGAATAATATTTTGAAATTTCCCCTAAGATACTCAACTACCTACTGTTTTCTTATGTGGCTGTGCACCCCACAGTACCTGTGCTGAGTGTTCATGTCAACTGTCAATTGTAGAAAAACCCAAGATTAACCTGAGACAGACAGAAGTCTTCAAGAAGCTGGTGGTTGCATTGCACTGTGGGCAAAAGGGGAAATGGAAAGTAAACTTCTTCACCTATGTCAGCTCCTGAATGAAGAAGTATTTTGTTCTCTCATTTGGAATTTTAAGCCTGTAGAGAAAGACCTGAATAGGTTTGGACATATTGGATCTTAACAATACTCCTAGGATGCTCTAACTTTCCAAGGATCCAGAAAACTTTCTCTCCTCTGCAAATCCTTCAGCTTTACAGACCCTGACCAGGCTGTTTATAGAATTTTTACACAAGGTGAGAGATTAACAGTCATTTATTGACATGGTATTGCATATGAATAAGGTATATTTTGCCCCTTGATGAGCTTATCTTTTGTAGACTATAAAGATACACTGACAGGAAATTGTATTATAAAAGGCTGAATACAGCAATGGGGTGACAAGAGGATGTATTAACATCTCACCAAGGGCCACCAGAGAGAGTTTCTTGAAAGAGGCAAGGCCAGAAGCAAGTCTGGTGCATGAGGAGGAGTTACCCAGATGAAGAAAAGGGACAAGGAATGCTGGGGAAAGAGAAGAAAATAAGGTCAATGCAAGTTGATAATTTGGAAGAAAATATAGGGATTAAGGTAGTGGAGGTGTTTATGACATGGAAGATAAAATGAAATGAGACTGGAGACTGAGAGGTAGAAATTTAGGAGGCTATGTTCAAAGTTTAAAATAATCAGATGAAAACTTTGGAGGAGAATGTTCCAGTGATGAGCAGGCCTGTGCTGTGGCATGCTTGTTGAGAGGGTTAGGTACCATGAGGCTAGTATAGAATGGATTATCTACATAGACATTTGTCATTCACAAGGGTAGAAGATCTGAATTCTGGGAATGTTTGGGGGAAATTTTAGAGTCCTCTAGAGCCTATGAGTTCAGTTTGAGAACACTCTTCATATATCCATCATTTTAATGGGGAATTATTATATGCCAGACAAGGGCACTGAGGTGAATTATAATCCTGGTCTCAGTGAAATCAAAGTTGATAAATGAGTGCAATGCTATCTGATGGTGTAAGAGAGGTCTGGACAATGGGCTTAGGAGCCAGACTGCTTGACAGGGACCAGCAAGGTTTATAGTGGAGGTGAAATTTGATGTGAAGAGAGAGTAGGAGTTTTTCAGGCGAGAGAGGGTAGAAGGAAGGCTGTTTCTGAAAAAGGTGTGGAGGTGTGAGAGGACGTGGGCAGGCCAGGTATGTGAGCATCATGGCAAAAGTGACTTGGAGAAACTCCAGAAGTCCACTGTCTTGTTAAAGTGTTCTAGTGTGTGCTGAGAATCTGGGCAACCTTTCAGAAGCATCAAATTGCTATAACACCTTCTCCTAACTGGCACAGACATTGTCCATTTCTAAGAATGTAACATATACTTGCTAAGGAAGGAAGATTTTTCTCAGTCAGGGTAACTTTTACCATGTAGTTTATTATTCTGTTGACCTGCACATTCACTAATTTTAAAAGTTAAGATTTTGTGGCTAGCCATGTGTTAAAAACCTATGAGTTCTGAAACTCTCAACATTTTAACTTTACCCAGGGCCTGAAGATCAACAGAATGATCATCCTAAAGGAATCCTTCAGTTACCCAGCCCTGCTGGGGCTCATCTTAGGAATAATAAAATATTTTATAGTTTAATTTTTACGTTTCACAATGATGTTAGTTTCTTAAAGAGTGTCATAGCTTGTTTTAGTTTTATCAATAGAATAATCTTTATTTAAGTCAAAACAACCTTACTATACACTTCAATTGGAGTCTATTTACTTTTGCTCCATTTTTGGAGATCTATTCCATGTAAGAAACTTACATGTGTACGAGTTCAAGTAAAGGCATTGAACCGCTCTTACTCTTCTCTAGGCAAAGAAATATTTATCCTAGTAACTTTTCCAGGTGTACAGGTGTCCCTGGATAACTCCTTTTTGTTCTCTAAGGGGCTGTTTTCAATTTTGTTTGGTGACCAAAATGAACAGGATGTCACTGAGGCCCTTGAAATATTGGGTAGAATAAAAACATTGACTCCTGCTCTTGATTTCATACACAGGCCATCGGGGCTGCCCTGGACTGTGGAAAACTCAGTCAGCCCCTCCCTGTATACTGTTGACTACACGATGGTGTCAGTTCAGATAGTTTTACTGCAGATATCTTTGCTGCAAGCATTTTCACCACATAACTAGTTGGCCATAAGACAATTTTGCCACAAAAAATAAAATTACTGGTTGACTGTTTTTGGTTTTCATTGTCAGTTTGGTTTCATTTCTTCATTCAAAGTTCTCACAGTTACTCGCATTTTCAAGTAACATAAATCTTAGCTAGCCCTTATAATGGTCAATACAGTGACAAGTAGACGTGGTAGTCTTAAAACAGTTAGCATTTCTTCCAGTTATTGATGGCTTTATCAAGCCACCAGGTAAGGATGATTTGCCCCAACAGTTGCTTTCTTACTCTGAAACGCACTACATTGGAGGAGAAAAGAAGGCCCAGAGTTGGACCTACATTTCCCATAGAACAAAGAAAAGTGCTTAGTTAGGTACAATCCACAAACAAAAATAAAATCATTTTTTTGCACAGTATCACCATGAATCTACATGCACACAGTTTAAATGTTTTCAAATATTTTGTATTTTGCTATAAAGTCTTTTTAATTTTGTTATTCATTTTTTCATGTTTCATTATGTCTTTTTTAATTAATGCCCCTCTTTAATTTTTCATGATTTTATCTTTTATGGCAAAGTTGCCTTATGGCCAATAAGTTATGTGGCAAAGATGTCTGTGTGGAAACTACTGGACAGGAGTGGTATCATATCAACTTTCTCAAAAAACAACACTACCATGAGCACACAAACTCTGTTGAGACTCAATGCGAAAAAGAGGTTTTCCAATAATGCATGCCTTGAGATGGAGTCACGCACTCACTCAGGAAATATTTATTGAGTGCTTACTGCACGCAAGGTCAGAGAAGTCAATAGTGAATAAGATTGGCAAGGTCTGTGCATCCATGGATTTACATTCTGGCAGAAAGAAAAAACTCATGAAACAAATAAATAGAAAATTAAAAAAAAAAAAAAGCACATAGATAGTGACAGCAGGCGGGTGTGAGACTTTGAGTGGTAACCACATCTTGTGGGAGGCCACGCCCCAGGCTCCCCTCTGTGGACTTAGATCATAAGCCCTGTCTTCCCTGTAATAGTACTGAGGTGGTTTAATAGACTAAACCACAATGATGTTGTTGTTGAATTTTACATTTATCTTCTAAAGCTTTGATAGCTTAGCTTAGTACAGAGTCTCCCATTTTCTCATGAAATTACGGACAGAAATATTAGACACTAAGGATCAAAGTCTTTTGGAGAATGTAGAGGGTTAGATTCAAATGGTGGATCCCAGTCTAAGTTTTTGATGGCACCCAGATATCAGGAGAGAGGGGAGTCCTCCCAGAGGGGCCGAGAGGTCCTTTAACACAGAACTACTGAGTACTGACAGTGTGTATGAGACCCCGTTGGTTCCTGGGATGTGCCAAGACAATCTGGGTAGCACTTTTAAGTCCTGGGGCTTTCGAGCACTGAGTTGAGACTAGCTTAACTAGTCACTCTGCCCAAGGATGGCTGAAGGTGGAGGGAAAAAGATGCCCAGTGTGGAGGACAGGAGGGCAGTGCTGAATTGGGGCCAACAAACTCCATGTGTCCATGACGGCCTCTGGAGACAGGAGAGCCCTCTCAGGGGGTCAAGGGGCTGTGTGGGGTTGGTGGGTCCATCCCCACCACTACCGCTCCCCGTGCAGAGTCTCAGTCTCCTAGGACTGCACCTCACTTCTGGAGCTGCCTGTGTGTGTCATCAAAGCTGCCAAAACTGAAGACTCCACCAAACCACTCCCTCCCTCTCATCCCCTCCCACTGCAAACCATAATCTTGCAGGCAGACAATGAAGATAGGACAACTATTCAGAAAAACGCGTGGCTTTGGAGACTCAGGACATGTCCCAACTGCACCTGCAGGTTTTCTTTTCCTGGGGCTGACGGGCACTGGCTGCGTTGCACCTGCCGCAGGCCAGCTCCTTGCCTTTCAGTCACATACCTCGTGCTGGGTGTGCAGGCCCTGGCCTGCTCCACATCCTGCTCTGCCCGGGAAGAGATCTCCTCCACTCCACTGACTTCTCAACAGACTCTGCAAAGGGAGGCTATCACTCTTACATCCGCCATTTGATTGTCTATAACAACATGGCTATGAAAAGAGAGAGACAAACACCACACTTTTTACCTCTCCCTCCCTGCCACAGGCCATGGTGAGACCTCGGCTGTCTTCATTCAGTCTGTTGGTTGTGAATTCTTTTCCTTATTATGGTTTTCAAGAAGCAAACTGATCTGACATATACGGGTTCAAGCTGTGTATAAACCAGTGGGTGATCTTGGGAGAGAGAGAAAACCAATCATTCATGGAAACAGGGATTTGTTAAGATTAGAAGGCTCTTTTAAGGAGGTGGCTAGTTGTTCTTTTCTATCAGAATCAACACATAAGCTTCTTGTAAAACCAAATGCTATTTGTTACTGGACCCTGAAAATCTGAATAATTTTCTTCCAGCTCTGAGAGACATCTACAGGATGGATTTGTTCAGAAAGACAAGGAGAGATACATTAAGAAATAAGTAGCAGTATGATCCCATTAGCAATGTGCATGGATGAGAGAAGGAGCGGTAAATTTTTCTGCTAATGCACAGATGGTCCCACTCCTTCGAGCTCTATTAACTGTCTCTCTGACTCATTAATGAGGATTTGACTTGATAGTTTTCAATAATATTACTTTTGTGATTTGTTACTCAGTGCTGGAACAATGAGAAGATTTTGCTATTAATGATTAAGCACGCACTACTAACTTTTTTGATCAAAACAGTGATTGACGTACTCAAAAGATTCTCCAATGACAGGAATTTAAAAGTCTTGTTTCCTTCTTTACTGGAATTTTTCACCTAGGCATATGTATTTCCTTCAAACTCCATTTTGTGTAGGACTGGGAGAAAACTATTGCCAGGTGATTGGCAGTGGAGACTGTTAGTGGGTGTTGGTGGCACAGAGAGGGGAGGTTGTGAAAGTGTGCTTCAGGCAAAGGGGAGAAAGAAGAGCCCATATTTTACCTATTTATTTAAATGTCCTTTTGCCTGACACCCCCTCAGGCAGGGTACTCTGTGTATGTGTGTGGCTGGGCCACATAATAGGGGCAGTGTAGGCTGAACAGGCAGGGGGAGGTGAAGATCAACAAGAGGATGTGTGTCTTGGGGGAGGAATATTTTCTTGAGGGATTAAATCTCGGCATGAGTACAAAGCAAGCCACAAATTACTAAGGATGAGGGCCATGCTGTTCAGCACCCAAAGGATGTCAGTGATGGCGTGAAGATATAATGACATACCAAGGGGATTTCTGGTACATCTCCACACTCCCATGTTGCTCCTGATGTTTCTGTACATGTGCCTCTGTATGTGAATGGACACATGAGTGAAAGGCAACTAGGGAGACTTCATCCATTTGATGTACATAGTGAGGTAAAATTTCTTTTAAATATTTGATTTACTAGCAGGCCCTCAAAAGCACATCAGTTCTACTCCTTCCCAGTCAATAAGTCCATGATCTACTCAACTCTCCAGGACTGCTGCTTACTTAGGCCATCTTCTCATAATCCAATAAAGAAATAATGTATCCTATTGCTGGACTCACAGTCTATCAAGATGTTCTTCCTTATTATGGCTTACCAAATTATTTCTGGCTCCAATAAATACCATTTCCTTTTTCTTTTTAAATTTCTTTGAGTATGGGTAAAATTAGGTTAGGATTTGGATTAAAACAACTCCCATTTTTTTTTGTTGTTCTTTTAGGACTCAGTGCAATTAAATCAAACCTTAGTTTTCATTTCTCCAGGTCAAATAAGTGATTTCTTTTTGCAATGTGTGATGTGATTGTAAAGTCTTTACTACGCTGAGGGCCATGCTTGGTTGGTTTCCAGGCCATCTAGAGCTGAACTCCTCACATATACCTATGTGTCACTGTAAGATCTAGTGAATTGAGAGTTCTAATTCAGCATGACTGGGGGCCTGAGACTCTGTATTCTAGCCAGCTTCCCCTGAACTGTTGGTGCTCTCAGACAGTGCCATCAGTACACCAAAATTTACCTTCCAGAGAGAAGGGAACTGCCTTGGATGAGTACATGCTCTCACTTCCACTGAAACATGGACTATACTCTTGGACCCCTACAGTGGCCTTCATTCCATTCTGAGGTCAAGGTGCTCACTCCATGCTTACTTCCCCCAGCTACTTGTTATTTATGTCATAACCAGAGGGAAAAGGTGAGCCTGAAAGCATGTAGTCCAATCCTAAGAGCTCTTTATCATCCTACTCTACCCTCAGATTTGTCAGGCTTGGCCATGGGCCACAAGAATGGGATGCACAGGGACACTACTGTGAGCAAGGCAGCCCTTTCCTGCTCCCCATAGAGCCTGAAGTCTTGATTTGTTTATTATTCCTTGAGCCTGTGCTCAGCTACTTCCCCCTTCATATCCATCAGAAGTGGTGTTTTCCTAAAGAGAAGGTAAACACAGCTCTTTATTTTGCTGTACGACACACCTGGCCATCTCGAGACAAGGGTGAAGTTCATGCTCTTCTTCCTCTTTCTCAGCATTTAATTTTTCCCCTCTTGCCTCTTCTCTTTTTTCTTTTTCTTTACTTTCCCTATCTACCTCCCTCTTTCCCTCACATTTATCTAGCTTGATGTTATCCATGAAACGACAGCTATATGAGCTTCTATACGGGCTCCTATAGTGATTACTATTGTGGGCCATATCATATCAGCACTTACTTCAACTGTTTATATTTTTCGAGGTTATGTGTTCTTCCCAGTGGAGAAAATTAAGGAACCAACTTAGTATGACCATGTAGAGTCTGTGTGGCCTAGCTGACTCAGGGTTTACTCTTCCATCCTCTCGGCAGTCGGCATGTGCCAGCTTACTCTCCTGTGCCTGCTGCCTTCATAAATGGGCAGAGTGCTGCTCCTGCAGACTGGCGTAAGGAGGCAGTGCTCAGGGGCAGCCTTTGGGCTGAAGGTTGCATTCAAAGACCCAGAGGCCTATCTGTTACCTGTGATCCCAAGACTGTGTCCAGCTCTCCTTTATTATCTGAGCCCACATGGTTTCTATTTTCCCATAGTCTTCTGTGTAGGGACTAGAAATAGTCAACAATGAAAGAGAGGTCATCTCCTTCATGTAGGAGCAGAAGATCATGTGCACACATCTGGAGGCTTCATAGGCAAGACATGCAAGTAAGTGCAAAAACAGGTGGAGCTGAGGAGTGAAGACAGAAATTGGAGAGGAGAAAGTCCCACTGGGTGTAAGTGTGAGTTCACGTATGTGTATGTACACATACTCACATGCACAAATACACAACCATAGCTTAAATTAAGCCCAGATAACAAAACACTCTAAAACTCACATAGCAATGGATTACAATTTGGTGGTTAATAACAGGTCTAAGAAAGGGTTCTTTCGAAGTAACTTGCGCACTTCTAGGACACTATTTTTATAAGGAGAAAGCCGCTGGATGCTCAACCAACAGGGATTCCAAGTTGACCAAGAGTCAGCATCCTATGAAAGTAAACCATTGCATTCCTAGCTGAGCATTTTTGCAGGGAAGATATTTTTGCCGCATATAATGAGGACTCTCTTAATCACCTCCTCACGGCAGCTGAACTGCTCCTGCCTTGGCTCCTTCTGGGCATGCCCATTTAGGACATAGATCCTGGAGGAATTCCAGTCCTGCTGAGGAGCTGCAGCAGGCTGGAAGTCAGGGGCACTTATGAATGCCATTTGAATGCTGTAGGGATGACCCAAGGAGCAACCAATATCACAGCTATTCTTGAGGATGTGACACTGAATGAGAAGACAGGTTCAAAGTCCCTGAAATGCAGCCAAAGCATACAAATATTTGCATGATAAGTCATCTGCATGTAATAGTGGTAAGAGCTAACATTTACTAAGAATCTACTACTATGTGCCAGGCACCACTCTAACTGCTTTCTATCTAGGCACTTACTCAAGTCTTCACAACCCCATGTGGCAGATACTCTGAGGGCTGCACATGGCAGTTGTTAAAGTGAGGCATGCAGAGTGGTCAAGGCACCTGTCTGGGGCCACGCTGCAGACAGTGAGAGCAGTACTCCTGTCCTGCCTGGTTGCAGAGCTCACCCCTAACCCTAACTGTGCTGCCCCTCTGGGCATATACAAAGGCTTCTAGGTGGTGCTGTGTGTCCAGATGGGTTCTGAAGGAGGGCACCCCATCTCCTGGCAAGGTGCTTAGGAGTTCTTGCCTAGTGGCCTTACCAGAACGTGTGTTTGCTCGTTTGGGGGATGCAGTTGTGGGTGCTGGTGGTTGGGCAAATCTCAGGTCTTGGGGCCCTCCAGCTCAGAAAGGCAGCAGCAGCCTTGCTGGGGTGGGGGTGGGGGCGGTGCTACACCTACTCACCAGGAGCTAGGAGACAGAGGACTTCCGCTACCTCTGGTTTCATGCACTCAAGGAGCAAAAAGACTCAGTTCTCTCTCTCTCTTATTCTGGGTCCTGGGGTCCATTCTTTAATTGTTCTATATTCTGATTCTGTACTATAACTATTCACACCCCCATACCTCCACAAAGCAGGACTCTCCCTTTCAGCATTTGAAGGGATTTGATATTCTTGCATTCTTCCTCACAAAGCAACAGGTCCTGACAGGGCATGTGGTTGGAGCAGCCGCCTGCATGCCTCAGGTGGACTGAGGCAGGCCAAGAATGAGAGGGGGAGGCACGGGGTGGCCAGAATCCAGTCACCTGAGAAAGGAGGAATTCAATGCGGAATAATCCCTCACCCTCTTCACATAGGTGCATCTCTCCCCACCCCACCCAGATGCTGTCTGCCCTCCAGGAGCTCCATAGACCTGGATGTCAGAGGAGATCCAAGCAAATGTGCAGAGCCTCTCCCCAGCATGTAGCTTCACAGGACATCTGGGATCTGGTGATAAGCTTGGGTCTGCCCTGCCTCCTCTTGTACTGGCCTCCTCTGCCCAGCCCTCCCTCAACCCCTCCAGCTGCCCCTCCATACCTCCTCACCTCCTCGCCCTCTGGATTCTCTCCAGATGGAGTCTCTGGGGTGTGCCATGACGTGCCCTACTCTTTGGGGTACTGTTTTGAAAGAACTAGATTGTTTCTTGCTGTCTTCTCTAATTTTTTTGGAGCTTTCTTCATGCCCAGCACTTTCTTTTCTGGCTCAGTAGATCTTTTCTCTGGTTCAACATCAAGCCATAGAACAATTCCTCACCCTTATGTCCATTACTCCTCTACTTTGATCATAGTCATTGCTATAGCAACTACTAAAACCTTGAATTAAATTTCTAAAACCATAAAATATGCTAAATAAAATATAAAAGTATTTCCCACATCCTGTCCTCCCAATCCCAGTCTCTGACAGTCTTTTCTGAATGGGATGGGAGTTCCGTTTGACCAAGTGTTGGGAGCTTACAGAAGACACACGGCTCCACTTCTCTCTCATTTCCAGCTGAACAAAACAGTTTCCTATTTGCAAACTGCCTCTCATTACAGATCATGAGAGGCGCCAAAAGGTCCTTTAACAAAGAACTACTGAGTACTGACAGTGTGTATGAGACCCCGTTGGTTCCTGGGATGTGCCAAGACAATCTGGGTAGCATTTTTAAGTCCTGGGGCTTTCGAGCACTGAGTTGGGATGCATAGCTATTCACTCTGCCCAAGAATGGATGAAGGTGGAGGGAAAAAGATGCCCAGTGTGGAGGACAGGAGGGCAGTGCTGAATTGGGGCCAACAAACTCCATGTGTCCATGACGGCCTCTGGAGACAGGAGAGCCCTCTCAGGGGGTCAAGGGGCTGTGTGGGGTTGGTGGGCCCATCCCCACCACTACCGCTCCCCGTGCAGAGTCTCAGTCTCCTAGGACTGCACCTCACTTCTGGAGCTGCCTGTGTGTGTCATCAAAGCCGCCAAAACTGGAGACTCCACCAAACCACTCCCTCCCTCTCATCCCCTCCCACTGCAAACCATAATCTTGCAGGCAGACAATGAAGATAGGACAACTATTCAGAAAAACGCGTGGCTTTGGAGACTCAGGACATGTCCCAACTGCACCTGCAGGTTTTCTTTTCCTGGGGCTGACGGGCACTGGCTGCGTTGCACCTGCCGCAGGCCAGCTCCTTGCCTTTCAGTCACATACCTCGTGCTGGGTGTGCAGGCCCTGGCCTGCTCCACATCCTGCTCTGCCCGGGAAGAGATCTCCTCCACTCCACTGACTTCTCAATAGACTCTGCAAAGGGAGGCTGTCACTCTTACATCTGCCATTTGATTGTCTGTAATAATACGAAAACAGGGAAAAAAGCTCTGTCGCCCCTTAACTGTCCCACTTACTTCTCTGTTTTAAAAAAAATTCATGCCATGCAAACTTTTGCCCCTACTCAGTTAATCTTTTTCTTTTCTCCTCTCCTCCTCCTTTTCCTTCTTCTTCTTCTTTACAAGACAACAGCAATTCTGGTCTCTAAATTTTGAGCTTCTTGTAGGTAGGGACAATGCCATTTTTTGCATATCCTTTTGACGTCTATATATGTTCTGCAGATAGTGGATGTCATAGCATGCACAGATCATGTATAAATTCAAACAGGATGACTCTCAGGGTCCTTGGAAATAAGGAGGGTGCACTCGCTTCCTAGTTAATGACTGAGTATAATTCCTAGGGCTGCGGTGTTCTTTTCTGCATTTACATGAATCAAAGTACAGCACCAAGTAATATTTAGACATTCAAAGAGGCAAGCAGCATGCTTTCACTTAGTCAAATTTACACTATCCAATTTAAGAACACAGCAAGTCGACCAAGCTATGAATTTGGCTAGTTGGAGCTCATATAACTTGGATAGAAGTTAATGTTTACTCAATGGGATTTTAGACTTCTGTGCTTTCATACAAACCATGTATCCTGTTAATTTCTCTTTAATATTTTAGCATCTTAGAGCCAGCACAGCAGACACATTAAGACTTGAATGTGGTTGGGCAGGACCATAGTTATTAGTAGAATGGCGCCGATTACTTCAGAATTAGTGGTATCTTGATGGGAGAAGAGAGAAATTAAAGAACTCCAAAGTGTCTGTTAAATGGAATAAACTACCATGTGCATGTCTATGACTTTGTGGTGAGGGAGATCTGTGTGTGTGTACGTGCGTGTGTTAATAGGAGGGGTAACTTCAGTAATACTAACTCCAAGAGTCTAATATTTAGGAAAATTCTAGTAATGTTTACATTGGGGTTTTATCATAGTTTCATGAGATTCATTTCTCTGAATACATTAGATTATTAAAGATATTTTTAGAGATATCCTCCAACTTCCTTTGACTGGCTAAGTAACGTAAGCAATATAGCACATTTGGTCACAAGGAAGGACCCAGAAGCCAAGGTTTTTCAATTCTAGGGTGTTGGTGTTCTTATTTAATCCTTACATATGAGCTCCTATTAAGAACCCAAGCACACTCCAAGATAGGGCACACACTTCACTGTCTAACACACACATATATTAATCTGTGTATTTATATTATACTTTACAGTTCACAAAATGGTATCATAGACATTATCTCATTCAATTCTTACAAAAACCCTGTGAGATGGAGGCAAAGAGAGTATGTATTATTCCCATTTTACATGAACTGTGATTTGTGGAATAATTTAAAGCCTATGAACACGGTGACTATATGTACTGCTTTGCCTGAGACAACCCCAGACTATGTCGCACTGATGTAATTATTAGCATTTTCTTCCACTCTCAATATCATCCCAGTTTGGAAACTATGGTTTCCACCAATCTATAAATCACTTTTCACTTATATCAAACTTCAAAGTTCATGTGATTTGTGCAAGGCCATGTGATATTTTGTGAAAATAAGAGGCAGTCAGAGCGAGAACATGGTTAGGGGCTTGGGCAGCAAATCCAAGCTACCCCTTTGCTAGTTGTGCATCCTTGGGCTAGTTACTGGCACCTAGTAAGTGCTATATCATAATATCTTGTGTTTGCCGCTTGATCACATGGCCTCTTATCACTGGCATCTCCTTCTTCTCCACACAGAAGTCTTTCTCTGACACTGCCTAAGATGGCCCAAAGAAACATTCCTTGTCCTTCTCCATTTGAGGAGTCCAGGCTTTTTCCCTTCTCCCTGAAGGACTTCTGCCATTCTCCTCACAAACTGTCAGCAGTTTCAGCCTCTCCTCTCTCCTTCCATGGTCACGTGAAGATCATCTCACTTCTCCTGCCCCCATGCTGACCCTGGAGCCACAGAGTCTGACAGCCTAGCCACCATTCGTGAACATCTGGACTCTTGGCAAGACAAGGTCCCAGCTGAACATCCAGATTCCTGTTGGTATGGATGTATACCTTTACATCCAAACTGGAAACATTAACTAAAGAAATAAAATTCCAAGGTGTTTCAGATGAAAAGAGTGCCCTGGAGAGAGTTATCAATGGTGTCACTCACACACGTATCAATTACCTAGCACCACCAGGTAGTCTTCAAGGGGCTATCTGAAGATTTTTCAGGAAGCTGGAGCTCTCAATTACTCCAGGCTTCAGGGAGTATGGATGGCAAGAAGAATAGATATTGCTTCAGAGAAAGGTCTTTAACATTAGCACTAGATGAGGTCTGAATCTTGGCTTTGCTCTTTAACAGTTTGGGACATTGAGGAATTTCCTCAATCTGTAGGATGAAAATGCTAAGTAATGCTTACATTTACATCTTAGGATAGTTGTGAGAAATGAGCCAGATAATGAAGGTAGTGTTTAGCATAATACCTTGAACAAAAGTGTTCCCTGGATTTTTGAATAATGTATTGTTGAGATTATGGGGATTATTTTATTCTGCTTTCTGACTCTACCATATTTCTGAAGGATTCACTAAGGAAGATTTGACTGAATAGTTTTAATTAATCTTCTGGACTGCCCTGTGCTTTGGGGCTAATTGCTCCGACCAGGAGGTAGTGACTGAATGCCATTTGCAGAGAGAATCTGTAAATTCTTCTGCTTCCCTGTATGCTATTTTCCATCTTCAGGCTCACTGTTGTCCCTTGGTCCACATGAAGACTTTGGAGATGGGGACAGGAGACAGGAAGGTGCACCTCAGGTTAGGGGGAGGATGGCCTGCATTTCGCCCAATTTATTCAAATACCATTTAAGTTGACAAGCCTCTCATGCAGGGAACTCTGAGTGAGTCAGGCTGGGACCACATAATAGGGGCAGTGTGGAGCTGAAGAGGCAGGAGGGAGGTAAAAATAAACAAGAGGATGTGTGTCTTAGGGGGAGGAATATTTTTCTGATGGATTAGGTAGGAGACATGAGGTACACATAAAGCCACAAATTACCAGTGATGGAACTGTGAGCAGTGAATTGCTGTGCAGAGTAATGGCACTCTGATAAGACATTTCCAATGGAGAAGAATGCTGTTTCACTCAGGATATTTCATGGTTAGACTTCCTTCCTTTTCTGCTCTCCCTGTGAAACTGAGCAAGTTTCCTTGAGATACATATATCTCATGAGAAAGGGGCTTTGATTTACTTTGGTATATATTTGGGTTGGCTTCTCCTTCAGTGGTAACTGAGACTGGAAAACACTTCAAGAGGTCATCTTCTTCACTCTAACAGAGAGGGTGGTCACTAAACCAGAAAAGACAAATAGATTACCTCTGCCTCATTTTGAAATATTACCAACCAATCCTCACAATTTGATGAATTGTGGTTAACACATGTACGGGTTAAATTTCTATTTTATTATGTATCTATTACAGTCTCTCCATGTCAAATGCAATTCCCACCCTTTCTTGGCCACATTTGGTGAGAATTAACCATCAGCTCTGGATGACTGTGGGAGAGTTAGGGGATGATTCTGTGAGGAAATGGACACAATTAGATAAAATGCTGTCAGGAAAAATGGACAATCTAAGGAGCAGCTCAGAGGAACATTTTCCAGACATGGCTGTCTTTATAGTTTCAAAGTGTATTTGACTTTGAAACTATATTCTCTTCAACAATATCCATTAATTAAAAATGATATAAGGTTTTTTTCTGGGGGTAGAGAAGGGCAGGAGAGGGACTGTCACAGTAAATCCAAGCAGTGATAGGTGGTGACAGAGCCATCGCATGGCATAGAGTCCTCATTCTACTTTATGAATGAGGCAATGGCAGGGCAACTGACTTAGAATATATTAACCCCCATGGCTTAGCACAAAGTGAGAACTTAGTGAATATTTTGGATGATTTTATGATGCGAGCAATTTCAGGCTTGGCTTCTTACAAGTGCAATCTTGTACCCAAAGATATTCACATGTTAAGAATGCAGGACTACCAGTTTTCAGTGGTAGTTTTTAAATCCTGTAGTTAAAAAAAGGACTTGATTGTTTCCCAAACAGAATCTCTCCATGCTGCTTGCAGGGCAATGCTCACCTCTCCCAGAGGGGCCCAGTGGCTTTCTGCATGCTGGAAGGAGAAGGCGAAGCCAATTCTTTGAGGAGCCAGTTGAGAGGGAGGCTATGCTCAATCTTCCAAATTATACCTGCTCATCTGTAGTCCTAACCCAGCTGCCCCAAAGGCAGGCAGAAACAGGGCTGAGCACAGTTGGCTGTACTCAGAGGGAGGAAGAGTCAGGGCGAGCCTGGCAGCGGGGAGCTGAGGCCTAGAGCAGCTACTGAGCTCAGAGTAAGAGGGAGGAAAATTCTTCCTCAAAGGTACTCAGATGACCTTGCTATTAAGTTGAGTGAATTTTTAGTGTTAAAATCATTCATGAGTTGCTACAGTAGTGAAATTAAGAGACTCCGGAAATCTAGATATAGTAGCAGAAGGAAATGATTTGGGCAGATTAGGAGGAGGAGCAGCAGAGGGGGTGTGTTCTATAATATAGGGGAAGCTCTTGAACAGAGCTCACAAGTCCTTATGTTCATGTACAGACATTATCTTAAGTTTCACAAAAAATATTCAGAATTTTTTCAAAACAGATCTTTTAGTTTTAAATAACATCAAGTAACAAACAGTTATTCACACGGAAGTCAATTTTTACTCAACCTACAATAAAAAGTTTAGATACAACTGTATAAGATTAATTCTTTAAATGACAAATTAAAACCATGGTCAATTATGGTCCATGATATTGGCAAAGAAGTCAAAGGAAGGGGCACCACAGGGAAGGGAAGTCAGCGTTCTCATGCATCAGACACAGTAGGCCTTCCCAGAGGGTAATCTGGAAACATATGCTGGAATTCTCAAAATTATGCAGGCCTCTAACCCAACATTCCTACTTTTACAAACTTACATGTAAGCAAGCAAGCAATGATGCATGTGAAAAGATTTATCCACAAGGAGGGTTCATTTTGGGAATTGCTTATAACAGCAAAAATGTGAGAACAACAGAAATGCCAATGGCGGGGAAGTGGTTTAATGGTCTGTCATGATGGAACACCACATAGCCACTACAAGTCAGGCTGTAGACAAATATTCCATGACCTGAGAAAATGTTCTTGAGAGAGTGGTACATAAAAAAGCTGCTTACAATAGAGCATTTTCAGTGTAATCAACTAAAAAATATAGGGATACTCTGTGCATAAATATAGGTATATTTACAAGTGCATTAAGCCTGAAAGAATCTATACCAGAATATTAATGAATATTTTAATTTTATTTTTTAATTTCCTAAACTTCTGAAATATTCTTCAGTGAACCTCTATTATTTTGTAATGAGAAAAACAAAATTTAAAAAATCAAAAGCATTGTATGTTGCATTATTTATACTTATTCAAGATAGAAAAATTGTGTCAAAGTCCATCTATGTAAGAATCTAAAATTTTAAGAAAATATTTGGATGTAAAACATCCTTTATTTCATGGAATTGCTTACTCCCTTTATTTGTAACAGTCCATTTTTTTTTTACATATATGTACTCTTTTGTTTGAACTTAATAATATGTATCTAGTAACAAAAGGGATTTTAAGCAGCCTTTCAATGTTTCCATATGGACAGAAGAGATGTCTGAGTACAACCACTCTTAGCTGCTTGCATGTTCAGAGGAACATAACTAGGCCTTCTCTTTCTCACACTTCCATCCTATGCCCAGAGGCACCTGCTCGATAGTGGGAAGCAGAGGGGAAGGCAGGTCTATCTTCATGAGCTAATAGCCGGTGGGGTACAGTGTGATAGATCCCTATAAGGAGGGAACAATGGCAATCCCAGATTGGGGGAGTGGGTGCCACTGAGGTGCATCCAGGTGGGGGCATGGGGATGAAGAGTGGGATTGAGGTGGAGAGAGAGAGGGAGCCAGAACAGAGAGGGGTCTCTCCAACCAACTGCAATGGGAGAAGGCAACTGAGATGACTCCAGAGATAAACTGAAAGCTGTACCCATGTGTTATCCATTAAACCCCATAAACAGCAATTTCCTCTTCTGCTCACCGAGAATTTAGACTTCCTCTGCTCACTGAGAGTTTAGACTGATCTTGTGGTACTTTGTGCTTTTCAATCCACAGTATTTATTGAAGGCCCACTCTGTGCAGAGGACAGTACTAACTGCGATGACAAACAGACAGATGGGTACGCTGAGACCCCTGTCTTCAGATCTTTCAAGTCTAGTCACACGGTGATGGCAAAGTCTCAAACAATAATATAGATCATATTAAAACAGGTTCCATGTTTCTTTCATCTCTCTGAATCCCCCTCAATGCCTAGCAGAAAGGTGTTTAAATGCTAAATGCCCACTTCATTATTCTTTTGAGGGCATCTTAATTATTTATTGCTCCAAAGGAAATTCAGTAGTTTCAATGATAGTTAAACATAAAACCCAACATCTTTCTGACATGAATATTTGCCCTAATAATTCATGATTTTATAATCTTTCTATTCATTCCATTAATACAAACATTTTTATGACAGCTATGTGCTTCAATAGTTTACATGATAAAATATCTCTAGCAATGCTAACTTGTCTTGCCAAACCCAACAGCATCTAATAAGGAACTTCTTGTCTTCCATCTATTTTACTTGTATCTTATACTAAAGTTGAATGATATATGTAAGTGAACCCCATCCCCTAACCCTAAACACTCCCAAACATTTAACACCATCTTTCTGAGCTAAGTAGAAAAAATACACAATTCGTGTACGCCTCCTTGTTTACTCACTTGAGACAACACAGACACTTAGGTATTCACATATCATTGAATTCATTTGGATCTTTGAATACTTGGGTTTCAAATTCCATCCGGCTCTGTAAAATAAAAGTGCTCAAATTAGTACAGACTTCCAAAAAAGGAATAACAAAGCAAACTCTTAATATTCAAAGAGACACAAGATAACTGAAGAAGGGTGGGAATCAAGAACTTTGTGATCCTCATGCATTTTTCACTCACAGACAGGGACAGTTCTGACTATATTCCAAACACAATGTTGGTCTGAGTCGACAAAGATGAGCAAGACCATGTGACCCAGCTCTCCAGGAGCCTCCAGCCCAGTGGTAGAAACTGGAGAGCTTAATTCACTGCAATGAGGGCTGCAATAGGGTAAGCACACAGTGGATTTGGGGAGTCCAGAAGGACTAATTATGTCAGAGCCAGGCTGCAGTGGGCAGCAGAGATGCTTCCTGAAGCAGGAGAAGCTGGACTGAGAGCCGGAGTTAGGGAAGAGAAGAGGTTCAGTAAGACAAGAACCCAAGAGCTGAACCCTTGGGATTTATTAACAAGGTGGGGGGGGGGGGAGCGACCACTGAAAGAGCAGTTTCAGAGGTGAACAGGAAGAAGCAATGGTAGTGTAGGTCACAAATATGAACAATTCTTTCAAGATACTTAGCTGTCTTGAAAAAGAAAGTCATTGAATAGGAAATAGAAATAGGTGTGGAATTACTTTAAGTTTTCTCCTTTTCTTTCCTTCCTTCCTTTCTTTTCCTTTCCTTTCCTTTTCTTCCTCCCTCCCTCCCTCCCTCCCTTATTTCTCTCTCTTTCTCTCTCCCCTTTTTCTCTCTTTCTTCCTTTTGTTCTGTTTTTCAGATAGGACAGGTTTCAACCTGTTTAAATTCTGATAGGAAAGTTTTAGTAGCGAGAGAAAAGGTTGAAGATAGAGGGTAAAGATAAAGGCAAATGATGAATCAGTTCCTGAGCAGATGGGAGGAGAGACATCCAGAACTCTCCATCAGGCACTTCTGAGATCTAGCCCCCTAGCTGTCCTTCCACCCAGCCATCCATCTACCCATCCATCCATCCATCCATCTATCCATCCATCCACTCAACATTTACTAGGCACCTACGATGTGCTATACAAGGTATATGGGGATATGGCAGAAAAAAAGACCAACTTCCTGCCCTCAGGGTGCTTACATCTATGTGTTGAGAAAGACAATAAGTAAACATATTCTATGTAGTGATAAGAACAATGAAGAAAAAAGAAGCAGGGTTAGGGGATTGGGGGGAGGAGTAATTAAGATGGTCAATGGCATCTGAGCAGAGACTGAATGAAGTGAGCATCTGAGGCATGTGAATGTCTAGGGAAGGGACGTTCTAGACCAAGGCTACAGTAAGTGTAAAGGCACCTAGGGAGGAACAGTGAGGCAGCTGGGGTAGCTCCAGGGGCAAGAGAAATGGGAGATAGTAGGAGATGTGGTTGGACAGAGACAAAGGGGCCACCGTACAGACTTCAGAACCCACTGGAGGGCTTTGAGTAAGCAGAGGGGCGTGATAGCATTTATGTTTTTTTAAATATACTAGATACTGTGGAGAATAGTCATTAGAGTGACAACAGTGGAAGCAAGAAAGCTAATGATCTAGGCTAGGTGACAGATGATGACAGCTTGATTTAGGTTGGTGGCCAATGGACATGTGGAGAAGAGGCTACATTTAAAGATATATTTTGAAGGAGTAGCTAATAGTGTTATAAGACACAAATTAGGAATGACTGCTAGGTTTTTGATTGAACAACTGAGTGTACGGGGCTGTCATTTATTGAGATAGGAAACACTGGGTGAAGGGCAAGTTTTGGGGGAAAACCAAGAGTTTATTACCTTTTGGACAGGTTGAATAGGCAGCTGGAGATACAGACTAGAGATTGGGGGTGGGTATATGGTGATATTTATACATCACATCACTACACCTGCTTAAAATCTTCCAATGAATCCTCATTACGTTCAAGACAAAATCAAAGCCCCATGCTCCAAAGGACTTGGCCCTTCTGTGCTTCTCCAACCTCATCATCAGTCTCATACACACCAAACACTCTTCCAATACAGATTCATTTGTATCTCTTGCTCTCTCTCTCTCTCTCTTTCTCTCATGCATATGTCATTCCCTTTGCTTAGACTGTTCTTATCCATTTTGACCTGGCTGACTATTATGTCCTTAAAAACCTAAGTAAGCCTTCCCTGTCCTACCAGCCATTCCATACGCTGGTTTAGTTGCTCTCTTCTTGATTACACCACCACACGCTATACATATTACTATGGACCTAGCACCAGGGTACCCAGAGTACTCCATAATTGGTGAGTGTACTTGGGCAAGTTGCCTAAACTCTCTGAGCTTCTCTGAAGTTCCTCACCTACAAAATGAGGATTATAATACTACCTACTTCATAGGGCTGTTAGGGGGATTAAATGAGGCAATATGGCTTAGTGCTTATGACACTGCCTAGCATAGATGAAGCATTGTACAAGTCATTAACTATTATTATAGTAATATTTATCACCCTGTTGTGTAATTATTTTCCTGTTGGCTTTTCCCAGGAAAATATTAGCCCTTGAGTGCAGTCATTGAGCCTTTCATCCGTGTTTCTGGCACACATTAAGCTTCAATAATTGTTTCTTACATGAACGAATAAGTTAATGAATGAAAAGAAACAGCACTGGGCTACAATAGTACTATGAAATGAACCACCAGGTTCTTCTTCAGTGGGCTTTCTCTATTTAGAAGCTATTCTCGGGGCCAGCCCGGTGGCGCAGCGGTTACGTTCGCACGTTCCGCTTCTCAGTGGCCGGGGGTTCGCCGGTTCAGATCCCGGGTGTGGACATGGCACCGCTTGGCACGCCATGCTGTGGTAGGCGTCCCACATATAAAGTAGAGGAAGATGGGCAGGATGTTAGCTCAGGGCCAGGCTTCCTCAACAAAAAGAGGAGGACTGGCAGTAGTTAGCTCAGGGCTAATCTTCCTCAAAAAAAATAAATAAACAAAAAATAAATAAAATAAAATACACTTTAAAAAAAAAAAGAAGCTATTCTCTGTGGGTGAATGTGAGTCATCTGACCCATAACTCACCAAACCAAGTAGTCCTGGGTTGTTGATCCTACATTATATTTTGGTCACTGTTCAGTGAAAGTACTATCATTACCTTTGGATCAGGTAGACATGGTCCAAAAGCTTCCAGTAGAAGAGTCTCTTCTCTCACAGCTTGTTCATAGTCTGCGAAAGACAGCTTCCCATCATGGTCATGGTCCTAGGGGGTGACCAGTCATATGTCAGTCAACATGTAAAATACTTAGTGCAAATACGTACTGTCTTTTTCATGGTCAAATGTTAATAGAAGAAAGGTGTTAGCAAACAAGAGACTAAATAGTGAAACTGAAAAGAACTTTTAACATTGTAATAAAAGAGCACAATCGAGGTGTTTTATTTCACCAAGCAGGAAACTGACAGTTACAATAATTTGAATTTTCTATGCCATATCTTGCCTGCAAATTTCAATATAAAACTCTAAATTACCCATATTTACCATCTTCTTAAGTGTTATTTCAACCAAATCTTTAATTCCTTCATCAGGGTCTTCTTCAGATGGCTGTTTGAGAAGGCTGTTCTTCAACATGTGGAACATTTCCTCCTTTGAAATGAATCCATCACCATTCAAATCAAACACTTCAAAGCAATCTTTTAAAAAAATAACCAGTTATGAATGTGATACCATCACTAGGGTAACATTTGCTCTGATAAAGTTTTCAAGGCCAAGGTCTACCTTGTTGATGCTCTTATCAACCCCACAGGCCTTAGTGCAATCTAATATCCATAGTAAATGCTTAATGTATACCTATTGAATATATTCACCAATCCTTAGAAAAAGTCTCTTTACGCTCAGCTATGAAAAAGCATGCCAAAGAATAATACTTGAACATTTTCACCTTGAAACTCTTGGAAAACTGATTGAAATATGACTCTTGAACAGAGTTCGTTGGAATTAATTAAAAATCAGAACACTTGAATCAATTTTGTCTGCTTTTATGGCTACAAGGCAAGTAATGAAATATGTAAAATACTTAATACCTTAGTATGTAAATGCATATGTGTATAATTGGCATGTGTAATTTATGCCTATGCAGTCTTGCTTGGCATGAATTACTCCTCAGAATCTCTTGATTTTCCTTTTCATTAATTTTTTTCAACCCTTATCATTGACTTGAATTTGCTCCATAAAAGAGGCTAATGAGGATTCAAACCAACCAACCAACAGACAAATCTACTTCCTTGGTGGTGTTAGAGAACACTGATTTAAATTCTTTAGATATGTTAATCATAATATACAAGCCAATAGGATAAATTGAAACCTTACATTTCATTTTTTCTTCCAAAGTTCCTCGAAGAAACAGTGATAATCCATAAATCCACTCTGATACGTTTACACAACCATCGTTGTCTTTATCAAATCCTCGGAATACTAAAAAGAGAGAAGTAAAATACAACACTTGTGCTGCATTTTTACTTTGAGTAATGTATCTACATTGATACTATTCACTTTTAAAATTTAGACAAAACTTTCGGATCATATAGTCCAACATTCTCATTTGACAAAGGAGGAAACTAAAATAGTGTAACACTGAAAAGCTTTTATTTAAACTTACACATTTTCCCTTCATATTTTGTGGGAACAAAGTAAATTCTGAGACTCTAAATATATTCATCAATAAATATTAAAAAATATATTGGTATATTAAATTTATATTAATATAAAATTTTATATTTTTCTCATTCAAGAAAAGTAATGCTATTACATGATAGACGGGATGATATCTTAATTTTTATTGAAATAAATAAAAATATTTTGGGTTTTCTGATATAAAGTAAGGGAAACCTAGTTATTCAAGCTGACTTTGTCCTCTTCTTAAATACAAAATATGAATATATATTTATATAAAATATAAATTTATATAAATATAAAAATTAAATTTTTATATTTAAGTGAAATTGGGACTACAGAACATTAAGCTTCCTATCAAGAATATGTCCAAACTCCAAACTTTTTTTTTGAGTCATGGCTGGATTTGGCCCATTTGAATATTGTATTTTTTCTTACCTCTGTCCATAATCATGTCATCTGTCATTCCAAATGTCACGTGCAGGATGTTTCGAAATGCATTACGATCTAGTCCAATGACCACACCTTGCCGCTCTGTTACATCTCCCACCAAGGTATAGAAAAGGTTTATAAGACATTTCACTTCAAATTTATCAACTGTGAAAGAGTAAAAGTAAGATATAACAAAAACACATTTTAATCTTTAATTTCTAACTTAAATTTTGCAGTAATGAATTTATAGACAAACAACAGCAAAGCCATCAAATACGTAGTTTTCAACAGAATACCCTGTTTTGAGACACATGATCCTTAAGTCAATAGAGGATGGCCACTACAGAGGACTCTCCACTAAAATGAGAGAAACAGCCTTCCCTTAAACAGGAGCTGAATATTAAACACATGTAAGTTGAGTCACATTTAGGGAAAAAAGAAGATAATATTAGCCAAGTTACCTGAATAATGATTATGGAGTCAGGTCTTAAACTTTACCAGGCAGTAGAAGTATGACTCAAAGTAAGCATGGTAATGTTCAAGAATGGTAACTTTTTTCCCAGCATTTTGATTATAGGTATTCATGAAATTTACAACTTAACTTTTCCTTGGGAATAGATACAGGCTTCTGAAAACCAGGCAAAAATTTCATTTCACATTAGCCTTAGTTAATTCATAACCCAGATTTTGGAAATGAGAATCACCTATTTTCCAACAAAGAAGTGTTTAGGCATATGGTGTTTACAGCACCCATTATGGTTCTTAACTATTCAGTAGTACTCTGGAGGAAGGAAATTTTTACTTATAGGATATACACACACATGCATACTTGCCCATACACATAATTGCATAAAGGGTGGTGTTTTAAATACTTGAGCTAATTATTTGTGTTCCAATCCACATCTGAGGTTTGTAGGTGGAACTATTATTGACTGGCATTAAAAACATAAAAGTAAGTTTAAATATGAAGTATAGATGGAAGATTGGGAAGATATTATTTCAAAACAAGACAAAATTATGGCTGCGTACTTTTAAAAACAAGGACAAAACCTGTGTGCATATAAAAGAAGACAGCATAAGAACAAAGAAATCACACCTAATCCTACAGATCAGGACAGGCTTGAGTGTGATTTCTGGTTTTGGGTACCACAATTTAAGAGGAACACTGAAAATTCTAGAAATTAAATGATTAGTAAATAAATTGATTAAATAGTAGAAAGGAATATAACAGTTATAATTTTAAAAATAGTAGTTCCTGTAGAAAATGGTATGTCAATTTCTCAAAAATTTAAATATAGGAACACTATGTGATCCAGTGATTCCACTTCTGGGTATACACACACCCAGAAGAAGTGAAAGCAGGGACTCAAGATACTTGTATGACATTGTTCATAGCAACATTATTCACAGTAGCCAAAAGGTTAAAGCAACCCAAGTTTCCATCGATGGACAAAGGGATAAACAAAGTGTGGTATATGCATACAAGGGAATATTATTCAGCCTTAAAAAGGAAGGAAATTTTGACACATGGTAGAACATGGATGAACCCTGAAGACATTATGCTGAGTGAAATAAGTCAGACAAAAAGGGGCAAATATTGTTTGATTTCACTTACATGAAAGTAGAACGGTGGCTGCCAGGGGCTTGGGGAAGAGGGAAAAGAGGAGTTACTGTTTACTGGGTACAGAGTTCCAGCTGAAAAGGATGGATGAAAAAGTTCTGGAGATGGATGGTGGTAACGGTTGCACAATAAAATGTTTGTACTTAATGCCACAGAGCTGTACACTTAAAATGGTAAGTTTTGTGTTCTATATATTTAACCACACACACAAAAAAAACTCTAAAAAGAAAACGAGCTGTTAGTAATTGGGGAAAAATGTCTGCATGAAAAACGGTACACTCTGTTCATATATATGAGATGCTAGCAGCGGAGATGTTGATAAGCCATTTTTCCATCTCAGCTGAAATAAAAAGTAAAGAATATGAGATTAATTTATTATCTGAAAGATCATAGATCAGCCATAAGAAAACTTTTTTTGCTGAAATGTTTCTTAAATTCTAGAGTACAATACTAAATGAAATCAAGAGAAATTCAAGAATGGATTTTCATCTTCTTGGATTGGTCTAAGTGTGTTCTGTGGACCATATCTGCAGAATGGTGGGTTAACTAGACAATCACTTAAGATACTTTCTTCTTCTCCGAAAAAAAAAAAAATTCTACAAAATTTATCAATTTCATCCTGGTGGGTTTATCATCTGACAACTAAAGGGAAATCTGACATTACAGGAAAGGTCCTCTGTTTAAAGAAATTTAAAATTATAATGTCCATGACTTGTAACTATTTCTATAGAATTCAACTTGTAATCATCAAGGTTTTAAAGGCTCACTCTAAAAATTTTATGTAAGGACAAAAATCAAAAGAGTTGACTGTTTTTCCTGACACATTTTCACTTATCTTTTAATGCACTCACTTTTTGATTATTCACAGAATGCTTGCAATACGTTGCTAACTAACTGAACAGGGACTAAATAAAATTCAGCATTGTGTATAGCAGTTATTGTATTATTTATTCAAAATTTTAACTAGATATTTTAAGAAGATCTGGTCTTTTCCCAGAAATGGAAGTATCTTTGATTTTTTTTTAAGGATTGGCACCTGGGCTAACGACTGTTGCCAATCTTTTTTTGTTTTTCCTGCTTTATCTCCCCAAACCCCCCTGTATACAGTTGTATATGTTAGTTGCAGGTCCTTCTAGTTGTGGGATGTGGGACGCCACCTCAGTGTGGCCTGACGAGCGGCGCCATGTCCGCGCCCAGGATCCAAACCCTGGGCCGCCACAGCAGAGTGCACGAACTTAACCACTCGGCCCCGGAGCCAGCCCCGTGGAAGTATCTTAAGAAAAATAACAACAGAACAAAATTCTCATCAGATTATAATAACCATAATAATATCTTAAATTATAGGATGCCTTTTTTCTAAGAAGTTTAAGATGCTATACACATCATAACTTTTATTTACAGCATTTCCTACCACTCACTACATTAGATACTAAAGATGATTAGAAGGCACCAGAGCCAATAATCTCTAGAACTACATTAAAACATGTTTGTTCCTCCTCCTTTGCTCAATGTGGGTATTCTAGGAAATAGGGCTTCTCCTATCTCCTGAAGTAGCCAGTGGTTTTGCAATCAGCACATAACTTAAAAGCTTGCTCATCAGACAACATCTTCCTCATCTAAACCATATCCATAGCTTCCTTGCCCAAGTACAATTCTGTTTTTCAGTCTGAATACAATCCTAAAGTTAACTATTAAATTCTAGGACTGCCTTTTAGGGTGTGCGATTGGAGCAGATAGCTTTAATAAGTGCTGATCTTGTCGTCTGCAAAGTCTCCTTTACCTTGCAACCCCACAAGCAATCGGAAAGTGGAAGTCTAGAGTGGGGAAGATTCTCCACCATGTGTTTAGCTTTGCTGAGGTCTTTGGTTTCCAAACAAATCTCTTTGCTCTGAGATACAGGTTTCTGTGCCACTTCAACTCATCTTTCCTAAGGATACTCAGCCATTGATAACCATTTTCCTTATGGATCTCTTGCTAAGTTTCCAGAACTTGGACTCTGCCAGTTTATTTGATCTGAAAAGAGCTAGAAAGCAGGTGTATTTGGTTGTGCTACTTTTCTTGAGTCTGGTGGATTTTTTAGTACTTATTTTACACCTGTGTCTGAGGCTAAAACCACTTGTGTCTCGTAGGTGTAGAAATCACGTTTCTATAATGGAAAAGTAAGTTACACAGAGGGTTTAAGAAGCAAGTGCCTGCGTGGGAGTGCGGTACTAGATGCCTGGATATTGGTCCTTGGGATCATGGGAGGGCGTGGTGCCTGCCCCGGGGCACTAACCCCCGAGAATTCCTTCCAGACTTTTCTTGAAGGCGTGGGTGTGGACGGAACTCCAGCAGCACACAGACTCGGGAGGCGGGAAGCAGACTGAGACCGGACATTAGGACCCGGCAGGACACGAGACCTGACCGAGTCTCCGCTCGTCCAGCACTTGATTCTTACTTACAGTGCTTGCAATTTTTAGTTAAGGTTTCCGTCAACTTCTGCAGCTTCTTGCGATTCATGCCTGGCGCTCAGGGAATCAGGCAGCGGCCGGCGACTAGGGGCGCGCAGAGATCCGGACCATCACGAGCCGTGGGCCAGAGCAGGCGGGCCGGGTCTCCACCGCGAGGGCGGGGTCCCTAACACTGAGCGGCCATGGCAACGCCTCCGCGGGCCGCCGATTGGCTTCCGGGCGCCCGCGGGGTGCGTACGTGGCCCTAACACACGGCGTGGCCATGGCAACGACTGGGCCGGCCGCCTATTGGCTCCTGGGGTGGGGGTGCGAGGTCCCCACTTGGCAGTCCGGCCTAAGCTCGTTAACAGTATGTGTTCTGATTGCTGATGTCGGAGTTTTGATTTTCAGTGGTTTCTGTCTTTTGGGCTCACAGCCCCTTGGGTGGACTGCACCGTGAATCATTAAGATATAAAACTATGTTGTGCACGCTGTGTGAGGGATGTTACACCAGCGAGCCTTAAGCTTCAGGGAGATCTGGGGGAACTTGGAGGAGCTTCAAGCATTAGCAGGTGTGTTATCCAGACGATTGTTTTACGGGGTGCAGGAAGGTGAGGAGCTTGGCCTTTGGGCTGAGCCACTCTTGGTCCTTTTGCTGTGATGCCAGGAGGGAGTCTGGAACAAGATATCTTCAAGTTTTGGGTGATGTTATACTGAGAGGAAGAGGAACTTGGATTAGTTCTTTTCTCCCTCCCCCCGCATACATTCTTGGGAGTGGGAGTGGAGGCTGTCAGTGGAATCTTGGAAAAGACACGGGCAATGTTGAAGCTAGTTAAAGAGGCAGCCTCCCAAATAGAGACAGGCTGACAACTACCATTTGGGAAGCCCAATCTTGCTTTTCTGGAAAATATCCCAGAAAAATTGATTCTTTAGTTATTTGAAAGATGGGTTCTGTGACAGCAAACAAAGGATAGTGTTTACATGTTTAATGTGGGACGACTTTCTGCTCTTTTTAAACACAGATGGGGCACCATATTTGAGTTGAGACAGCAATAAAATGGGTTAGCTCAGCCAAGAGCACAAAACCTACAGTATTCTTCATGTCCACGTTTTATTTCAGAGAGGAAAATACCTTTGAATACAAATTATTTTATAGTATACATACTGCCATCATTAGACTGAAGGCAGGAAAATTCTGCCAACCATGAGTAACAATCCAAAATGAAAGACTTCCAGTGTTGAGGTCTCTGATTTTCTTCCTTATTTCATTTGTCAAATGAAAGGTTGGATGCTGTTTGAAACCAGAGTCAAGGGTGCTTGGTGAAGACAGGGACTGTATTATCCTAACGCAAATTCTCTGAGTACAGATAACCAATATGAAACGATAGTGATTATGAGTTTGCAACAGTTCTCTGGTTAAATAGTATTCCCATATGCCCTCTTGTCTAGCAGCTGTGACATTTCTAATGAGATTACAGAGAACAAATGAGAAGGACTGGACCTGTTCTAATTACACTCACCTGTAAAACCCTAGTGGCTTTTGTTATGTTACAGAGTTGTGGCAAATGTTTAATTCATAGAGACTGTTGCTGTGCTCATTCCAAAAGAGAAGAAGCTGAAAGAGCAGTTGTCATTAGTTACCAAGAGTAGCCATGGGCCCCAAGTGTCTCACACAGGTAGGTTTGTCAAGAACCACATCGTATGTGTTCTGAATGGATGCCCTGCTGGCGTGTCTTGGGGAGCACATTGATGGGTGTGTCCAGGCATCTCTGCAGACATCATACACAGGGAACTTGTTGGGGAGCACCTATAGGTGAGCTAATCAGTTCTTCACAAACTTCAGGCCTAGGATCCATCAGCTGTGTCCCCTTATGGTGGAAAAAATGATGTAAGGATAATACTACACAAGACTCAAATCTGTTCTACAAGGCAAAAATTCCTTAACTTGATAAGAAAACTTTGTGAGGTGCCCTCCTCCTGTTCTTCTCTCTCCCTGAGTTCTTTTTTCCCTCTATTCTTTTAGCAAAACATTTCCAAATGCATTGCTATGTGAAACGCTCTTCTCTAAGACAGTGGGCAGCAGAGTTGACCTTACAAAAGTTCTTGCAAAGCTTTCTCAGGGAAAACAAGGTATTTATTAGGGACATGTTTTGTCAACATACCGGTAAACTTTAAGTTGTTCATTACATTCTTGTGAGTTTTTGAACTTAATATTTCTAGACTTTAGAAACTAACTGTAGGCCTGACAGAGTCAGCTAATCATGTTTCAAGGCAAATTGAGATTTCTATTTGTAGTTTTTAGTCATTTGTGTTGAGCAGAGACAGGATTGCTTTCCCCAGGGCTTTTTCAGAGTAAGTCAAACCTGAACGGTTATGTCATATCAAATCAATCAATAATAGAATAATAAAAAACTGCATTTAATTTGTTCTATATACAGTTTTTACTGTGCATGAAATGATCATAGAACTTTCCAAAATTCAAGCAATTTTGTGATGGATGCTTTTGTAAATACAAAAGTACCTTAAAGTGATTATTAATGCTATAAATACTTCCTTTAATTTTATATGCAAAATAATCTTCCCTTTGACTCACAATTTATTGGAATTTTGCCATGATAAATAGCTTGGACCTTGAATTAATGAAAGTGTTTTGCTTAATATGGACCTTTTATGATGCAGGCATTTGGAAGCTGTTTAGGAAATGATATCATAGAATTCATTTCCAAGTATATTACAAATCTATTATGAAGTTATTTTAATAAAAGGCAAATATAAAGGTTAGTTATTTACATAATTTAAATTCAATTTTATCATTTTTATTTTGTAGAGATAGAGTTGAGAAATTTGGAGGTGATTTTAGCCAACCATTTGGGTGGTTGAATCTCCAGGGCTCTCTCTTACCACTTTCCCCTGTTCTGCTACACTGTGGTGACAAGCTGCTTTCAGTACCTCCAGCCAACCAGCTGTCTGCCCCAGGACTTCTGCATATTCTTCATCTCACCCCAAAGGCAGCTCTTCAGACAGGTTTTGACTTGCCTATGTAGAGTGAATCCGTCCCTACACATCCTTATTCTCTGCCCCAGGACCATTGCCTTTCTAGGACTTGTCACAATAAGTGATTACTTTCTTTCTCTAATTTCTCCTCCCTACTAGACTGTCAATTACATGTTGTCTCTCTTTCTCTCTTCCTAGATATCTATGTCTATTTTTGTCTCTGTATCTAACATCTATCTGTCTATACCTCTGAAGGTTGACCACACAGTTCATGTTCTATCGTCTGTGTTAAGGGAGAGAAGTAGGAGAGTTCACCTGAGCAGGTATGAGCCCTGAATTCCCCTGCAGCACCCAATCTTGGAGGGCCCTTCTGAACATACAGCAGGGCCTTTGAAGGAGGCTGAGTGGGAAAGAATACCTTTTCCCAAAATATGTGCTCAATGTTCACTGGTGTTACCACATTTCTAGATGATTTTTCTTAAACCGTAACCAAGTGACTGAAGGGTAAGGCAAATGCCTAAGGTTTACTAAGGATAGGATTCTTATATCTTACATGTAATTTACAAGGTTATAAATTAAGATGTGGCATGTGGTAAGTAATTATTGCAACTTCAATAATGTCAGCACGTTGAATAGGGAAGCTGCTCCTCCAGGCCTCGCAGAGCCAACCAAGAAATCTGGTAGAACCTTCCAGGCTCCTCCCACTGAATGCTGGGTCATGGGCACCCCTGGCTAGGTCATGGCAAACCGTGCTATCTGCATAACTACAGGGACAGTAGCGCTTGCCGCTTTCCAGGGGAGTCTGGAGTGCCACATAGCACTCTGGTACTTATTGTGGCCCTCTGCAGCTGTCACACGCCTCCTACATCAAACAGGACCAGGCTTATCCTCTCATACCAGGCCGGAGGCCACTGCCTGGACCTCTGAGCCAATGCTGACCAGAAAATGACCTGTACCCGTCTGAATATTTGAGACCAGGCTCTCATAACCACATTCCCCACCTCCATCATTCTTGATTACTTAGAGAAAAAGGAAGCTCCCAGAATTGCCTGTCTCCAAGTAGTCTCACCCCCTTATTAGACTTTATTTCTTAGCCTAGATGTCTCTAACACCTTTCAACTGCTCTCAACAAATCCCTCCTCAATTGTGAACCTTTACCTTACGTGACCCATCTTTGCACAGAGCCTTCTCTCCACCTTTCTTGTCTGAAACCTGCCTCTCCCGTGAAGACATTGCTTCTTCTGTAGCTATTCCCAAAGAAAGGCTACCTTTTTTCTCATACCTGTTTATTCACAGCCAGAAGGAAGTCAAAATCCTGTTGACCTCACATTATCTTTTTGTCATTGTCTTAACTTCTATCCTTTCTTCTCATTTACCTTCTCAGAAAGTGTTGGCTGTGCTCACTGCCTACACAGCTGCACCTCCCATTTTAACTGTCCTCTTTGCTGCATTAGCCTGCTTTCTTCCATCTCATGCTTATTCAAGCCACCCAAAGGGTTGCCAGAGTGATTTAGCTAAAACACAAATCCAACTATGTCTTACTTCTGCTTAATATTGAGATGCCTTCTCAGTGCCTGTAAAATAATGTCCAAACCCAGTAGCACAGTTTCCACTTTTCTCCAAGACCTGACCTCTCCCTGGTTTGTAAGCCTCTTCTCTGACCAGCTTCTGTGTATTTAATGGCTGGAATTCCAGCAGCCATCTTAGACCATGAGGTTCACTGGGGACTTGGAGCCACTCAGAGTGGAGGGGTAAACTAGAAGGGGCTGTGTCCCTTACATTGTGGGCACTCCTGGACAGCAATGTGAAATAAGCTTCTATCTCATTTATCCCGTTGATATTTGGGGGTTTTCAATTACTTTTGGTTATACCTAATCCTACAAACACAAGCTTTAAAATGAGAAAATTGGATTTCACTTCCTTTAAGGGTCCTTCATGTTTGTGATTCTGGAAAACAAAACTAAAGTCGATATCCATCTACACACCGCCTCTTCAATGGGTTGAACCTTATGGAAATGTTAGAAATTAACCATGTTTGACTTACAAAAAACTGCGGTCACGTATCAATCTACAGTGTCATGATACTTTTTTATATTTGCTCGGTATTTCAAATTATCTAAGCAAAGCCATGTTTCCATCTGCAAACTCAAAGTGGCTACATTATCCTTTAGGCGTTCGAATTCTCTGTGATTCTTGTTCTAGAT